AGCAGCGGCTCCGTCTAAGTACGGCAGGATTTGGAAACAGAATATTATTATTTATCCATTTTTTAAAAAGCGCCCCCCCTCTCCTTGTCCCCCTCTTTCTCTCCCTTCCTTGTCCCCCCCCTTTCCCCCGCGGTCCACTCGAGCATCTCTCAGGTGACTCCCGATGCACGATCCCCACGCAGCTGGGGGGGGAGCAGAAATTTTGGGAGAGGCAGCAGGAGGTTTTTTGGGTCTGAAAACGCAACGTCCTTCAGCGCTCTCCTCGCGGGGGAGCGACCCAGCCGTATTTGGCCTTTTTCATTTTAATTACTTTTTTTTTTTTCTCCTACACCGTCGTTTTAAATTATTGAGCCTGCGAGATATTTTCAGCAGGTACATTTAATTACAAAATTGCTTTAAATTGATTCCATAATTAGACTCGGATTGCTGGAAAAGTCTTAAAAGTAAACTGCTTTGCTGTAAAATGAACTTAGCTGTGATAATGAGAGCAGCGTTGGGTTTTTGCTCTGGCGCGGTGTTATCTGTTTGTGTTGGGAGAATAAGCCATTTTCTGATTGAATCGCATCGCTAATGGCAGGCAGAGTCCGATATAAAAATTGCCTGGGCTGCTTCCCGTGCCAGAGACTTATGCCAAAATTTCCCAACTTGAATGCCTAAGCCCGGGCAACTCCGATCCAGATGTGTGTTCTGTCACTGAACGTTCACTTGCAGAAATTCAGCTGAAGAGGACCTCAAGAGGTCGTCTTGTCCATCCTCCTCCTGATGTGATTCTGTCCCAATTTTCTATCTCGAAGCCATAAAGCCATTTTCCGATAGAAATCCCGTGACTGCAAATGTGATTCCAGCTAAACAAGCTTTTAAACTGTTGCAGTCTCTACGAATCCCTCTTTAGAAATCAATGGCTTTTTTTTCTTTTTTTTTTAATCTTCTGCAACTGCGTTTCCCTTGGTTTCCTGGCCAGCTCGTGCTTCAGCCTGGTGATGCCTGTCCCGTGCCTCCCTCCCAACTGGAGCTGTGCGAGCTCCTGTCCTTCCCTAACCTCCTCCTTATGGATCCATTCATAAAAATGAGGCTGTTCCAAAGCCCCCTCCTCCCTGAGGCTGTGGATATCCCGCAGCTTGATTGTCGGCGTTTATTCAGCTGATTAGTGCAAGAGGTTTTTCAAAATATGGCTTGGATCTCCCTCCAACGTAGTAGTTTTCATCACAGCCTGCAACAAATTCTTCCTTGATGTTACTCGTTACTAACACCCCTGCCTTTCACCTTGGCAGCGTAACTAATTCTATATCAAATTCCACTTGTCAGGTGTTTTAGGATCTTTCAAGGATATTTTTTTTCTTTTTTTTTTTGTCCAGAGACTAGGAAAAGGGTGGGATGGTTGCGCCTGGCTAAAGTAACCAGTGAAAAATATTCCTTGCTGTTCCTGAGTTATTACTGCTGTTCTTTCCCGGTGTGGTTGTGCTCAGAAGTCAGGTACTCTATAAATACTGGTAAATGTACAGATCTTTCATGTGGGAGAATACGCAGCGGTTGTTGTTTTGTTGTTTTTTCTTCACCCTGAGTCATTTGGGTGGTAAAAATAATGAGTTTTGTGATTAGAAGAGAGGACTGGAAATTAGGATCTCTCCCATTTTAGGCTCTGTTGTATCTGTGAGCGAGCTTGCTGTGCTTGCATGGCTTGCTGAGGAGGCTCAGCTTTTGGCTCAGCAGCCCTTGGTATTGACCAAAGTTGTGGTTTCCCAGGACTTTTGACAATTCCATGTCTGTTGAACTCTGGTTGTAAGGATTTGTGTACCCAGAGAGAAGGCACCCGGCATTACTGGCTGCTTTGGAAAATGTAGCCCCAATCTCTTTCTATCTTCTCATTATCTGTTAAATAAGGATAATCATACTTCTCTCAGAGATTTGAAAAGAGCTTTGATGACATTTAATGAAAATACCATGGAGGTGGAAAGAATTTGTTTCAAAAGCTTTAGAAAAACAGCAGTGACAATATGCTGAAATAAAAACTATCCCGCATATTAAAAAATGAAAATGAATAGTTTAGGGTTATTTTTTCTATAAAGCAATCCGCAGCTTACATTTTGGATCCCATTTATAGCTTCCTCCCTTCCTTAGTGATACCAGGGTTTGGCTCCTGTAATAATCCTGTCAAGACCTGTGTGACTCCTTCTATTTTATATCTGACTAAGCTCTATTGATTGTCACGTTCTACCATTTCACCCCCAATCAATACTACTTATAACTCTTTTTTTGCCTGTCAATAACCCTACAGAGAATAACTCTGTTTATTACATTCTGACTTTCTCAAAAGTGGATCTTGCAGAAAATTTGCTGTAGAAGTGAACTCAAATGAACAAACCTTTCAGCTATTGATACACCCCACTCCTCCCCGATGTATTTAACTCTGCTGATACAAGGATAAAGTAAATCTCTTGCACTTCAGCTTGTGGCTTTCATCTAATCATCTTTGTTTATCTTGCTTTTCGCTATAATTCCATAGTGTAGGGAGAAAAAAAAAAAGAAAGAAAATAAGAAAGTGGGAAGAGGGTGGGAAGGCTGGTAAGAGGAAAATGAAATGCGCAAGCGGATGGAGCTGGTGACAAGTTATTTCAGAGTTTTAAGGCATTGTATGGAGTTCACTGTGAAGCCTGTAGTATGGAGATAAGAGGTGTAAGAATATATTTGTCCATATAGTTAAAATTCGGGGAACTATATTTAAATTGCAGGTGGGGGAAATCTACAAGGAGAGGGAGAAAAAAAAGTCCAGCAAGCTTCTGGTTTTGAGGTTTGTTATGTGGCCTCTGTCACCTGCTTTATTGTCCTTGGTCCGTTGCATGAGCTCTGCTTGTCTGCAGTGTCTTCTGCGTGGTCCCACGAGGAGGCTCAGGGTGCAACAGGCATCTCTGTAGGCTTGGACGGGGCCATGGGCTGTTACCTCATCTTGCCTCCTGGCCTCAAGCAGGATTAGGTGTTCTTCTTGCAAGATGTTTATTTAATCTTGTTGTGAAGCCTTCAAATGTTATCGCATTAGTGATACCTTGCCAAATAGCGGTGGGTTGTTTTTTTTTAGATCAAAGCTGAATTTTTACTCCTCTGTGATTTTATTGCATTTGAAGTCTTAGTTATGCCTTGGTTATAGTATCTAACCTTTGGATCTGGAGGCTACCAAACCCACATCCCTCATGTTTCTGAGGATGGTGGACTCATTACCTTGGGGTAATACAAGCTTTTGTGTGTGCCAATGATGCAGGCCCACCACAGGGCTTACTTTTTGTCAACCTGCAGTTGTTTTTGGCGAGAGAAGCCAGCCAAAGATTCCCCCTAACTGCCTTGAATGCATTTTTGGATTATGAAGAAGGTTTTCTGAAAAAATCAGAATGTTTCCTGATATCCTCTCGCTAAATCTGTAGTTCATATATTTTACTCACTCCCTCTCAGTGCATCTGCTTCGCTTGTCAAGCAAAATAGACATTTCAGCCGGGAGTTCTCTGTACGTTTGATGAAAGCATCAGTTATTTTGCAGGATTGTTTTTAACCTCCAGCTTATTGGAGAAGCTTGGTATTTTGGAAGGGACAGATTTTTCCCATCGTGACATGATCTTATTCTCAACCCCAGCTCTACCTCATAGTGCCCCCGTTGCCCTCTCTGCAGACTTAAGTTAGCAGTTAAGTGCCGTTTCGTAGCCGTTCTGATGGCAGGTGGCAGAGCCAGTGACATTGTAGGGTGGCAGCTCCTCCTTTGTCTTAGTGGCGCATCCTTCTCCCCACAGCCTTGCGAGGGGTGGGCATACTTGGTAGATGAATCTTAAATCGATTTCTTAGCACCCTGCAAGAAGGAGGTTTACCCCCAATTTATCGTGGGAGTCAGAGGCTGAGGTTGACTTCGCTTCTCTGTTTCGCTTCCTTACTCCCCAAATTAGAGTATCTTTCATCTCTCTATTAGGGGTGATTACAACTTTAGAAGAATGAATTAATTACGCTTTGCTTGATTTTTTTCTCATCTGCAAAGTAGATAAGCGATGTATTCCATGGGTGTATGATGAGGTAGTTTGAGAACCTCCCAAAGAAAATGTTACAGGAGTGAGAAACAGTGATATGGACAGAGTATAAACTATAGTTTACCAAAGCAGGAGGTTCTTTAACATTCATGATTTTTGTGGTTGTGTGGATTAATAATTAAATATTCTTACCAGAATTAGGAAGATGTTATCTTTTTTTTTACTTTTAGAGCTTCTTAGGGATTTTTTCTATAGAGTTGATCATGTACTCCTTTTTTTTTTCCCCAAATATTGTCTACCTCTGATTGTGATTAGTATTTTTTACAACAAAATGCGCAGTAGAAAACCTTGTGCTTGTGCTGTGCGTTTCAGTGAGGTTTTAGGCATGAAAAGGACAAGAAGTGTGGCCTGAATTCATATTTGCTATATGCCAGTGCAGATGTGAATGAAAAACTGGGCTGCATTTAGTAGTGAACATAACGTAGAAAATGAGCTTGAGGGATGAAGCGGTGTCGTGTGTACAATTTGATTCAGTAAGTGTAAAAATTAGCTTTGCTAACGTATTACGGGGACCGAAGGTACTTGTATCTTAACAAATTTCGGCAATTCAGCTGTGAAACCAACATCTCCTCACTTGGCTTTACATCTTCTTCTCAGCGACTGCCTTTGATGTGGCATGAGCAGAGCATTATGAAACCGATTATAGGCTGTACCTCTACTAGATTTCACAGCGGAATGGTTTGTCGTAGCAGTTTTTAACGTCCTCACTCACCTTCTGATTACCTTACGCCGTTGCTTCCCTCGACACCGAGTACGGCCGCCTTCTTTTCCCCGATGGCTTTTCCTGAACAGCTGGGCTGCTGATGGGATTCATCCAAACTGGGGAGTTTCTTCCTCCCTGTGCTGAACACGGTGGAGGAAGTTATTGGTGCCATCTGTGCTCGCCGAGCCCCTGCAGGGAAAATGTGTTGGACGTGTTTTCACACCTGTGGCGGGTGACCCCTGAATCCTATCAGCTTTTAAATTGGGTAGTGTCCGTCCTGGGTTGCTTTTCTGCTTGTTATTAAGAAGTTATACAAAGCTTTTGCTCTGTAGGGAAGTTCCAGAATTTATGAGGAACATTTCTGTATGAAACAAGCCTTTTTTTGTTGTCAGTATGACCAACTTTAGAAAGCAGTACACGGGCCTTTTCTGCCAGTGTCACTACTTACTTTTGCTAAGTATTAAAAGAAAAAAAACCCCAAAATGTAACAGATATTCTTACTTGTATTAGGTTAATAGTAACAATAATGACAAAAATGTTACTTTTAAAAAATATAGCCCTTCTCATCCATAGAGTTCTAAGCCCTTTATAAAGGAAAAGAGGTGGTTTTTTTCTCCCTTCGTAGATGGGGAAATTACTATAGAAAAATTAAATGACTTAAAGACATGTTTCCTGTAACAAACAGATCTTGTCATAGAGAGGGAAGAGATCTGCTGGATCTTCGTCCAGCGCTTGCTTCTGTAAATAGAATTTAGGGAAATTCCTAATCCTAATTTGTATGATACAGCCTTTATAATAGGATTTTTTTGGCTGTGACTCTCTTCTAACTAAAATGAGCAGGAGATTTCCTATTCACGTAAATTGCTACTTAAGCAAATCACAGAGGAAGTTTTTCCAGTGTGGTTTATTTGCTTGACTCCTTTATGTCTGTGATATGCACATGGCATTTTTCCAGACACTGAAAACATCTTCTACGGAATAATAACCAAAAATAGGAAAATGTTGTAAATTAGGTTTGAGCCCTGAAAAATGGTGTCATGCAGTTTCTGATAGTGCAAAGCTCATATTAAGAGGAATGATATTTCTGCTGTGCTCAGTCTTGTGGTTGGTGATCGTAGCTTGATGATCATAGCTCATGAAAGGCCAACATTAGACAAGAATTCCACATGATTTTTAAATAATTCTAACATACTTAAGCAGTTAGGGTGCTAAGGGTGAAGCAGAACTTGCCTGTAAAGCCAAATTCTGCACTTAGTAAAAAATTTACAGATTCTTGGGTGGGGGAGGAAGTTTACTTGGACACTGAAAAGAAGAGACGGGGCTTAACAACGTATTGAAGAAGAAAATAGGTTAAGTGACTGAGGGTTAGATTACTAAGGGTTAGATTATGTAGAAGTTGGGTTATCAAGGGTATCATGAGATAGTGTCCTAAAAATAAACTCTCTTGTACATTGCTAAAGAAAAGTCAGGATACAGCACGCACATGAATCAGGGGAATTGTTGTATCACTGGGCTCCCATTCCGGAGACCTGAAGAATACACTAAAAAGCAGAGGTTGTCTTTGAAAATGCAAAACCTTCAGATCTTCCTTTTGGTGCTGCAGAAAGGCAGCAGCAAGCCTGGTTGTTGATCTGTCAGGAGACTGGAGAACACTGTACAGATCCAAGAGAAAAGCTCCCCTACATGCTGGGAGGGAGGAAAGGATGCTCAGAGGTGGAAGCCTGTAAAGGTGGCATCCTGTTCTTCCTTCTGTCCTTAGCACCAGCGAATGCGTACGCTAAAAAAGCCATGGAATAAAAAAATTCATTCCTGTCTTTCTGGAGGTGGGACAATAGACTGCAGAGCAGAGTCTCAGAAATAGGGCTGGAAAAGACCTCCAAAGCACCTGCAGTTCATCCTCCTTTCCAGAACAGGACCCCCATACACACCTCAGGGAAGTTACCATTCAAGACTTTGTTGGAAACTACAGTTTCCCCATGTAGCTATTTCAGCACTTCACTCTCTTAATGATCAAAATGTTTTTTTCTGATGTCTAATTTGAATCTTCCTCGCTGTAACATAGGGTTCTGTAAGGATTTATGTCTCTAGTGTGGGGTTGCCAAGTGTTACCTCCTCTGTGATGCTGTCTGTCGCTGTGAATCCACCCGTGCTGTGTCTCTGGCCATCCTGACTGATGCTGCCAGTTCTCTGGGTCAGGGCAGGTGGAATCCTGAACTGCTCCAATCCAGCAAAGTATCTCTGAAAAGTGACATTTTTTTAAATATATATGTGTACAATATTAATATTTAGATATATTTATATGTACATATATTTTAATATCTTTAAATATATATCTACATATTACTCAATAGATATATATTGGGGTAAATATATATATTGAGCAACCTGGTCTAGCAGGAGGTGTCCCTGCCCGTGGCAGGGATGAACTTTAAAGTCCCTTCCAACCCAAACAATTTTATGATTCTATATTAGTTAATACTTAGTCTGTTAGCTAAGGTAACTGCCCTACGTTCATGGGTTGCTGCCAACACAGAAGGAGAAGTTGTGATTCTTCATGGTGGAACTTAGGTTTTTCTAGTTTAGTTAAGGTCACAGCTAAGTTTGCATTTAACCACGAGATCAGATATCTTACCAGCAGCTATCAGAAAGGTCAGGTTTGCCTTGCTAATCTGGAAAGACTTGCAAGGATTTTCCAAAGTCACAACTGGAAAGAATCAGGGATAAATCTCAGAGTCGTCCTATAAAAGATGCTTATTTACACAGTCTGATCTCCTTGGGGATATTAGACCAACTCTTTGTACTTGATCATGATGTAAACAGTATGGTTATTCCCACACTAAATTGCACCCAAGTGAATTTGTATTTTACTTCTGTAAACTGAGTGAAGTTGTATATACTGAATAGCTCCATGGTAATAGATTGGATCACACAAAAGGCAGTCACAATAGCTTAAGACTTCCACGTGTGTTTGCAAATAAACGATTTTAACAAGAATTTTTAGAAGCAGCCACCTGCAGCTGTCAGCTCCAGTGCCTGAGTTCCCATTCCCAGTAAAATGGGTGCTGATGGTGGGTATCCAGAAAGATGGTGCAATTCAGGAATCTGGAGTGGCACGGGGAGAGGTGAGGGATATTAGAGTGTGTGGGAGCTGCTCTTTTAGGATAAAATGGAAGTTTGAAAGATTTAGAGCAATGCCGAGAGCTGAATTAGGAAGAGGAAGACTGCGGTGGTGTGGGGATTGAAGTCAAGAGGGCTACTTGCTTGAGTAGATCTTTTAGCAGCAAGATCTTCAGGGCACAGAGTATGTCTTTTGTCTATTTCTAATACTTTGTGTAACTCCCACCATGCTATTCCTGTGTTTGTGGAGTAATGATTTGTATTCCAAAAGCCATGGGTGCTTACGTGACAGTCATTTTTCTGTATCTCTCCACTTAGCTGACATTTTTAGGGATATTTTATACACATCGTGTTACCCAGAGAAAACACAAATGATCCACTTAAAACTGAAAATAAATAATAAATAATTTGGTCTCCTGGCAAATTGGACTTATAAAATAGCTTGATTGCAATTACCAGCTTTGCAGTAATCTTGAAAGAATTAAGATTAAATGGTGTTATGATGAGCAATAGTGCGAATGAGAACGCACAGACATTTGTCTGGGTCTTGTGAAATGCAGAGCGTCCTTCTCTCCTCTGAAGGGGGACCACGACCCCTAAAAAGTGCAGTCCAGCTCTGCCCCTCTGCTATATGATTCACGTCCCAAGGAGCGAGGTGGTTGTTTCAGGCTTTAGCCCCTTCTCTTTTTGAAGAATGACTCTCAGAAAGGGTTGCCCAGATCGAAGAATCCATCTTTCAAGTCCGGCAGAGCCATTCGCTGCCGATAACCTGTGCCTCATCTGTCACTGTTGCCCTCACCCAGCACCTCTGTCTTAGAGACTAGCCAAAGAAAGGGCTGATTTAGTCAAGACTAAGCTGGTTTGCAAAGGCTAGGATATTTTTGTCCAAAGAGAATATCCCAGTGAAAATATTCACCAAGCAAAATATGCAAATTACTGTAAGATGCACGTAGATGAAAGCCCAACTCCATTATACTTATTATCTTTTTGAAATCGGGTCGTGATGGGACACAGGACCACGCACCAGCTGTAAGAGCTGCAGGGGAAGAAATTGCAGGAAAGGGCACAGGGAGTAGCAGGGGCGTCTGGTGGTAAATGAGGGATAAAGGAGGGGTACACAACTTCTCTTTGTATGCACCCGTGCTCTAATGCGCTTAAGCGTGGCCCTATTAATCTTACACGGAGACAGATGGGTGGATGGATGGATGGATATATGCTGGATAAGAGTAAGAAGCTAAAAAAAAAACAGAGACAGATGGGTGGATGGATGGATATATGCTGGATAAGAGTAAGAAGCTAAAAAAAAAACCTCCAGCAATGAAATTGTGAAAAATATACTACTCTCATTGACAGTCATTTCAAGGCTCTTATGCTTGTTCTTAACATTTACAAGGTTGCTTTTTGCACTGCAAAATGGATGAGTGTTCTCCTCATCTTTCTCCTCCAATCTTTCTGTTTGGGTGCAAGAGCGATATTGGATTCACGTGAGGGATGGGGAGCAGAGTAGTGTTGGGTATATTTAGATTCTATTTCATTTTTATTTCATATATAGTAACGTTACAGGGAAGGACTTCATTCCTCATTTCAAAGAGAAATCCATCAGATAAATTGCATTCACTGCAGGGAGAGGGATTTTGTCAAAACCAGGATGAAAGATGCCTTTTTGCAGTAGCCTTGATGTGATGGGAGGTGTGTTTCCTGGATGCTACTAATGGGTGCATTTTTCAGCTCTGGGTTCTCATGTGGTAGAGTTTTCTTGGTTCTTCCAACAGGCTGTCTGAGAAACCTCGTACTTAGAGCAAGGAAGTCTATGCAGTTCTGAAAGTTAGTACGTCAGCCAGGCCAAGTTTATGGGGACCTAACTTGATGAAGCAGACTGAAAAAATTGTATTTAAAACAACCTTTTTGAATGCCAGCGTTATTAGAATATTAAAAAATGTTAGGGTGCACTCGTTTAAAATAGCTCAGAATTTTGTCAGCCAAAGAGGTTCTGCAGCAGTGCATTAGCATTGCAGGTAAACGATTCATTACATTTGCTGTTCTCGCCTGTTTAAAGCTGTGATATAAAAATGCAGACTTTCAGAGGAAATTGTTATAAATCCGATCTGAAGTCTGATAATTATTTTTTTCCAAGGAAACAGTGTAACAGCTCCTAGTTGCAGCTTCCTAGTCATCTTAGCATTTGCTGTTCGTGGTCACTTTTTTTGGCAGACTTAATCTCAGTTTAATTCTTTGGTTGTTTGGATGGAAAGGAAAAAGTCCTAAAAGTCCTTTGATAGTGTATCTATACATATATTGTTAGAAAAAAATATTTTCTGTATGTTGATTATTTGTGTGTGATGCTGTTTTCATAAAATCTCCTCTGAAGCACAAAACCAAAGCAGTACGGGGAGCCGAAGCAGAGTTTCGGGATGCAGTGAGACTGGTAGCTTACTGTGTATGTTAACATGATACTGCTACTTGTTAGCCTGGAAATACCATTTACTGTTTTTTTTTCCCTGATCTGAACGTCTCTGGAACTAGGATGATGCAGGGATTTTCCTATTCATCAGCTTTCCATTTCTCCTGTGAATTCCCTCTCTCGCTCAGAGGCAGTTTGTGTGGGGGCTCTGATCACCAGTACCGCTGCCAAATTTCCTACAAGAGCGAATTTGGATCTGCTGTTTTATCTCCTACGCCTGGCCTCGGGAGTGAAGGAGGTAGGGGTGAACGGCGGTTGTGTGAGGTCAAGAGATTTGACCTTATGAGACAGTTCTAAAACGATCCTCACCTCACTTCACATGCACCCTTTCTAGAAGGCAAGATGATGCTGGTCGTTCTCCTTGAATGTACAGCCTTTCCTTTCAGCATCTGAAGACCACTCCTCCTTGCTGCGTTACAGCCTCCTTAGTCCATTCTTAGCGCCTCCTCAGACCTGTTTTCAGAAGTACTTAACCTGAAAAATTAAGTAGTTTTTAGAAAAAAGTTAAAGTTTAAAAAAGTTAAGCTAGCTTTTAGAAACAGTTGTCATACACACTTCAAAATCATTTGCCTTCATCTGAAATACCAAAAAAAGACAGAGATGTACTACATCGGGGGGAAAAAAGGGACTGAGGGATGTACTATTCAGAGGTTAATGTACAGCTTCCCTTTTCTTTCTAGTTCTAATGCTAATTTCACTCTTGACTCTCTTTTTGATTGACTGTATTAATTTTGTTTATTCCTGAACTATCCTACTGAGTTTTGACACCAAGGGCTGGTTGGTGCCCGATTCCTGAGTCTTTACTATCATTTCATGACCTGTGGTAGGAAGGGAATGATTCTGTAGATATAAGCTTAATGACCTGAATTTGTAAAGCTCTTTAGCAGTACTGCTACTGGTGTGACTCACTATCATTTTTAGCTCTGAAGGCAAAGGTTCATCTTTCCATACCAGCTGCATCTTTTGTTGAACAGTCTGGTACTGCTGAGAGGTTTAACCTTCATGTTTCTGTTTTTAATCCTGCAAGACATTAGGCATCTCTTCAGCTTCTTTTCATAATGGGCTTGTTCCTTGAGAGAATGGCTCTCAGCTCTTCTTGTACAGTACTGGTCCTTGTTTAGTATTCATGAGGACAGAGACTTTGCAAATTGAACTGTTCCTAGAAACAGACAAAGTAGAAAAGACTGATTTGACCAGAACAGCAACACAGAAATTTGTGCTAGTCACAGCATAAATATTTTCTTCCTTTCCCTTCAGAATGCTAATTATTTTATATTTAATGAATAATTTTCAGAGGTGAAATTTTTGGTAGTATCGATACAATAAAGGAAGAATCACGTTTTCCTGTGGGATAACTAATCCAGATTCAGTCTGGGAAACTACACTGATTTCTGGAAGCTTTTGCTCCTAGCTTCTTGGAGTGCTGCAAAGCCTCACATCCTGCATGGCCTTCGCATCCCTGCCGGGGTCACCAGGGGGATTAACTGGCCATTAAAATCCCCTCCGGCACCCAAGCAGTTCCAGTTTCTGAGTTTCTAAGTAAATGTGAGTGGTGGTACTGTCAGATTTAAAATACTTATGTATTAAAAGCAGTTAAATTACTCTGGAGGTTAAGAACTACCTTAGACTTGACTTAGGCACTGAAGTAAACTTCAAGTCTGTAAACATGAAGTCTGTAAACTTTCAGTGAAACAAAGATCCTGAGTTGCTGTAAAGGTGCTGGATGGACTAGAGAGGGGCTGCTGCCTTTTGGGGTACTCGCTGGGAGTATGGCCAAAGCAAAAACCTGCATTCAGGTTATATGGGGTGTAGGTCTTAGGCTGGAGCTCGTAATAGTGATGCAGCATATTTGGTAAGGAGATTATTGCTTAAGTTGAAAAAAAGATTGATTTGTTTTCTTTTTAATCACAGTGGGAAACTGCACACCCAGAAACCTTTTTCCTGGAAAAAAACTTGCCAGTATTTAAATCTAATTGAATGATTCCTTAAGCAGGACATACAATGGTGAATGTCAGCTGAGTGATACTGGTATGTTCTCTGTAATCGAGCCTCGTTCTGTTACATACAGAAGATTTTTCCAAGCCAAAAAAGGGAAGTAAGGGCAGAGAATAAGGAATACAGGGGAAGAACGTGCCTTGCATTATCAGGGGATTGCAAACTCAGATACAGTAAGACACAGACATTTTGTCAAAGAAGTTGGGTATGTAAGTTTAAAGCTTGCTCTAGGCAGTTTTGACTTAGCCAGCACTTCCAGCAGCTGATAACCTAAAGTGACACTGACCTTGGCAGATTTACAAGGGTAAGCTTTGCACAGGGATGGATTTTTTCTTGATCAGTTGCTCAAGTGTATGAGACACAGTCCAGCATTGCCTCGGTATTGATTATGGATGTTTGTTTTATCCCAGAACAAACACGCCGATTGCAGATAGTGGGAGTAGAATCAGTCTCTCTGCATATTTGAGCCCTTCTGTACCCATTACATGGTATCCTGGGGCTCAGGGATGCCACTGGGCTTGTGCCAGGCCCCTCTCTCCTTGCTTTTTTGACTCATTCCTCTTTAAAGCTGTAATGCACGAACAGGAAATATTGGTTTCATTCAGTAACTACCTGCACACTTGGGCTTTTTTTGCTGGGTTGCCTTTTTCCTGGCCTCGTTGCGTTCATGTCCAGTGGGTGATTCATGACCTTTGCTTGTGGACACGCAATTGCACAGGCAGTTTTCAAGTATCTTAAGTGGCTGCTTTGAGGTTTGTCAGTGTTTAGAGGCACAGTGGAGGCAATTTAGCCACGTCACTATTTTTAATCCATCCTCTGTGTACTGAATCACCGTACCACTTGCTAAATCTGTCAGGGTCTGTGGGTGTTCAATGCTGCTGGGATGTAAATTCTTTTTTTGTGTGAGCAGCTTCCCAGACTCGGGGAATAAAGTGCCATGGGGTGGAACAGAGCTCAGTTGCACCCTCCCCATGCTAATTGTACTGGTTTCTATTAGCGGAATTGGGCAGCTCTGGAGTCACACCATAGTCCAAGTCCTTTTCTGGAAGGTCATAAATTGTGACCCATTGAACAGAGCCTTTTGGTTTTTTGGACTAGCAGAATTCTGTCAATGCCAGAAGTCTCACAGATACTCTCATTTTAGGCTTAACAGATTAAAATCATAGAATTATCTAGGTCGGAATGGACCTTTCAGATCATCTAGTCCAACCATCAACCCAATACTGACAAAAAAAAATCGCTAAACTGTATCGCTAAGCAGTAATCAAAATATTACAGCAAAATAGCAAGATATATGCCTGTGATTAAAGAAAAAACAACAAACCACACCAAAAAAACTAGCACCGAAAATGTTATGTGATACCTTAGGGAGTGTGGCAGCTGAAGTGTCCCTTCTAGGTCTTCTGTCGAGTGAGTTGCAGGGTTCAGAGATGCTTTTGCACATGCTACTTGGCCCATCTGTTCTCCCTGTTTCCTCAGATCCCCTGAGCAGGCACAGAAGCAGAACTCAGAAGACTTCTGTTCTCTGTGCTCTTCAGAGAGAAGAAATGGTGTCAACTGCGATACGCTGTTTGGATGCAAAAAACCTGAGTTGGCAGGAAAAAAAAAACCACCACCCCAGTTAGTATCCTCGATGTGTAAGGCTGGTTGCAGAAAGGCTCTCAGCCACCTTGGTTTTAGCAGTGGCCATTGATTTATAGACCTGGGTGTTGACATTCTGGGAGAGCTGCTTTTTTCGTTTGTTTGTTCCTCTGTTAGACATTTAAATAAAGGATGTAATACTGTGGTGAGCAATGGCTTAATTTATATAATTTTCTTTAACAGCCTGGCCTTGAAGGCAATAACATGTTGTAAGACTCAAGCTCTTTGTGAGCTAAATCTCTGCTGACAGCACATGATTGATTCAATTTTACAGATGGGACAGATTTCCTTGTTGTGTCTCAACCTGTCTTTTGATTACTCGCGCACAGACCTAAGCCACCGACAAACCAGAAGTGTTAATATGGATGAATGCTCACACACACGCCTCACACGTATGTGAACGCCCACTCCTTTATGCATTGCTGGAGGAAAAAATATCCTCGTACACAGTAATCCTGTCTTTTATGCATGTGTAATGCAGAATGCAAAGTTACACGGCCAGAAATAGGAGCAGGGGCTTGAAAAGTTGGCTTGCAGAAAAATGGATATTGAATGGTTGTTATGTTCAAGAGGTCTGAGTACAACAGGGACTTGTATTTGATCATCGATCATTCTTCCTTCAATAGGTCATCACTTCTTGCCTCCAAATCTGAAGCTGCTTTCACCTGAAGCCCTTGTCTTTCTGTACTCTGATGGGATACCCATCTGTCTCATAGCCCCAGGTCACTTGGCATTAATTCCTAATAATTGCTGTCAGTTTTGAAGGAAGAGCCGGTACTGAATGTGCAAATTGTTTTCCTGTCCCTGGAAATTTTATATTTAGCAGCCAGTTGTCACACTGGGCTGCTGCTGTGCCCTCTCCTCTGTGTGTTCTGAACGTTACCTGGTTCAGTGAAGGCCATGGGAGTTATGATTTGGATTGTATCAGAAGTAGAATGTCACAATTAAGTACAGGAATTTAGTTTCCAAATTTTCCTTGTAGAATCATACTTCTAAAAACGCTGTACGGACACCGAAAGCATTTTAAAATGCAAAATTTAGCTCACTTTTCAAATTTCTTAATCTTAATTCAGAAACTGATATTTCTGTTCAATAGATTTCAGTTTTAGTAGGTTAATGCCTTCACAGAGAATTTTTTCTGCCCTACCTGATCCTGTAACTTAGAAGATGGAGCTGGGGAAATCCTTGGTGTCTCTGAGTCTATATTGTGATTGCTGTTTATTTGGACAACTGGTGGCCTGTGTTTCTTTTAGGTTCCAGTGTTTGTCCTCTAAGCCTTTATTTTCCCATTTAATGTAAAATCTTTGCCTGAGGCTGATCTCTGACATAGGAGGTGGCATCCCAAGATCAAACGTTATTAACATAAAAAGAGGCACTGGAGACCACCAGGTTAACCGAAGGACTTCATTTTTGGAGATAGTCTACCCCAAATTTCTAGTAAAAATCCATGAAAGTTGTGATTTTGTACCATCTTTTGAAGACAGATCCTGACCTAAGACACCTTAATTGTGTGGCACCATTGGCGGGGAATGGCTTCTGGTCACTGCACTGAAATCTCTTTAAAACATGACCATCTACCCAGTGTTCTGCAAAGGCAGGAAATATTAATTACAAAATACTCTGATGGCTCTGGATTTATAACACAGCTGAATTTGGACTGTTATCTTTACGAAATAGATGTTGATGAGAAATTATGTAGATGAAAAACTACATGGGTAAATAGTGCTTTGTTTTCTGAACGGTTTTACCTTTGTGTGAAAAATTTAGATAAAGAGAGTATATTTTAAAAAAGACATTCAGTACAAATTTGCATGAAAATGGTACTGTTGCTACAGGGTTTATTATGAACTGTTATATAAATAATCTGCTTTTAAACAGACTCTAATATCTATTTATGCAATGTAGCAGCTAGAAAAGTTAGTAGGTATTTGAAAACTGACAGTAGCTTACTGTGTTCAGCATCTTTGGTTTGTGCAGCAGAACATTTTTCACTTAACAACATATTTAAAAAAACCCAAAGTGAATACCAAGAGACATTCTGTGCGCATGCACTGTATTTAAATATAAAGTTCAAGTTGCATAATGAGTCAGCTGCAACCAGGGAAATATGAAATCTGACAGTTTGTTAGTAAATGCTCTCCTCTGCCTGTATGTTATAAAGGTTATTTGCCAATAGATAATGCTGTGCATGCTACGAGTTGAATGAACTAAGACAATAAGGTTTCTAAATGGATAAATGTTAAGAACTGGAACCACATACAAATCAGAGCCAGTGTCTGGTCCCTAGAGTCCAGCTCTTGGCTTTGTCCTCTGGGTGCTGACCCTGAACTGACACCCTCTACCACAGCCTCTGGGTGAGGTCACGTACCCTTTGCTGCTGAAAATAAATGTGCCATGTGAGTGGGTTCACCTCATGTTAGACCGTTAATGAATCTTGCTCCAAACGTCAAGTTGAACAGCAAAATTGCAAGTTTTTAGTAGGCAGTGAGATAATGTTAACACTGCTCCAGGCTTGGGGTTGTGGGGTTTCCATGCAATGTACTTCTGGAGTAGAGTGGAATATTGCATTCTGCCTACTCATTCTTCAGTTCTTCATGTAAATATATACTCAAGCTTTGCTGGAGGCAGTGATTTCTTAAATCAAACAAGTTATATTTATTTAAGCATGGATCTTCTATCCACTCCAGCAGAGCAGGTGACAGTTCCTAAGACTGATGATTCAGGATGAACACCTCTCCCTTGTTCAGAGCCTACACGAGTGTGTCTTCTGTATGGGCAGGAGAGCATTCCTTTCATTCCGAAGTGGTCACAGACACTGTCCCTGCTGTGGCCTCGCCACATGGCTTCTTCAGGTGTGCCTCCAGGTAGCCTTGGAATCAGTAGCCATAGTGTTGGCTTCGTTGTCTTCTACAGCTTGAATGAGCACATGGAAAAGCTGCTGTGTGAAAGAAAGACAGTGCCTGTCCATAGTCTCCCTCAAATGAGCAGAGCCGCTGCGATTCCAACTGCATGTTGGACACGTACAGCAGCCGATGAGGTGTCACTGTGCACCTTGGTTCACTGGGGCTCAGAGCTGAGAACCCCACTCACATCCCGCCTGCAGGGTGAGTTTATTTGAAGGGTGGAAAGCTGTGGCTTAATCTTTGAAATCTGGAGGAATAAATAGTTGAAGTAGTTGCTACCAAATTGTATTTCTGCTCAGATTTGAAATGGATATGTGATTTTTCAGCGGTGTGTTAGTACTGCTAGCTGGGAAGACTCCTTAGGCAAAAGACTGTTTCCAAATTATAATGACACAGAATAGATGTAACACGTAGAAGATGATAGTTTCATCCTTTGGGCATGTGTCTGTGTAGGCTGAAGAAATTAGTGGAGCTGATCTTCTGCCTCAGTTTCCTTAATGCCCTGTATATATTTTGTACAACATTTTGGTCATAGAAAGTCATTCACACACCTGGTTTCTTTCTGCTCTATTTCTGACTCTGGAAAGTTCTGCCTTGTACAATGGATTTGGAATTGATGAGATATTAAAGATTTAGATTGTGAAATATCTGAAATCAAGCACACTTTTCTTTAGAAACATCCTCAAAACTTAAGGCTCAAGCTATTCTTTGTTTTGGGTGCCTCTGGAAGACTAACCCTCTCTGTATCACTGTCTTCTAAATCTCCTGGGTGGAGGTTCTGCTCACTTGTAGCTTCCAGTCTGTACTTGTGCTAGGTACAGTCCTTTGACATGCATTGAGGTCACTGGTAATCAATCCTGCATTCATTTTCCAACAAAAGAATTAATCTGACTGATTTTCAGTAGAAATTTGCCTTGAGAGAGAACTGCAGGAATAATGTGAACCACGCACTTTGGCTTTTACATTTTTAACCTCAGTTTGCCCATGTGTGTCTGTCTGCTCTCTAAACATGTCCAATACTAGAGCTTTCTGTGTGAAAAAAAAAATGTCAAAAAAAGCAATCACTGACCATATATATTCCCTCTTTCCTTTGCAGTCCACTAAGAGTGCAACATAGCTAAATTATTTCTTGATGCTTTTTCTTGCACTTTTTCTCATTGAGAAAATTCCTATAGAAAAACCTAGACTGTGACATGAGTCTTTTGGTTCATTCTGGTAGCAGAAAGGTTGTGAGAGATCTGCAGAAGAGGTGCAATTCTGATACTGCATCTCTTGTAGTTGCAGGTCTTCTCTTTGGCATCCCAGACCTTGGAACACAGTGAAAATTGCAGCTACTGTGGCCATAAAGGGGTGGTGGTAGTAGAGGGTGGAACCTTCTCACTTGGAGATTTGGAAGATCAGTTTGATTTTGGGTCCTGAAACAAATGCAGCATGGTGAGTCGTCGGGAATGTGTTCTTCTTTTCCTTAGTTATAAACTCTGTAGCTTTCTTGTCCATCTCCATGTATAGCATGAGCCAGATGAGAAAAATGTAGTGTGCTTTGGCTGAGGCTTAAGTCATGGGTGACTTAACAGTGGAAGAAGTATTCATAACCACAGAAGGCATGTGGATATCAAGTAAAGAATCCAGAAGATGCTCCAGATTGCAACAGACTATACCTACTGCTTGCCTTTGATTGAAAGCAGTCTTCACAATGTAGCAAATCCTTTAAAATATTTTCCTTCTCAAGGATTCACTTCTTCCTTGGCCAGACCTGGGAATCGGGATAGCTCAGTGAAAGTTCCATCCACGTGTTCGAAATAATGGGTGTACAAAGTAGAGGATAGCTCACATTTCACAGGAGACGTAAGACCTCATGGTGTTCACTAGAAATTTATCTTCTCTTGTTGTACAGGAGAGAATTGAATCTTATCAAACTATACCAGGGAGACGTTTTCAAAGCAGAAGACTGTTCTGATCCTATGTGAATGTCTGAGAGGAGTGTTTTAAGTCAGGGTAGTGCAAGCTGAGCTCT